GCAAATAAATTAATCTTTGTCTTCTTTTCTCCTATACCTTCAATTAAGTCATCGTTCCTAATTAGATTTGCCAACATTTCAATAACCAGGCAGAACAGAACTGGAGAGAGAGGGCAACCTTGCCTAGTACCTCGGCCAAGAGCTATTTGATCTGTCATCCCATCATTAACTATTGCTACAGAGGTATTCTCTAAATATAATTGATCTATTATCCCCCTAAACTTTTTTCCAAAACCCCAACCCTTTAACAAAGTCTTTAATGTTGGCCAAAAACAATGTTTATTTATGTGTTTGTATGTCAATCATATACAGAAAATCATGGATGGTCTTTTATTCTTTATTTAATAAATGTTGCTTTGATTACATTTAAGTTTGCTCATGTAGTTTATAGATTCAAATATTTATTTCTTAACACATTTAACTCTGTCCAAATTTAACCACATACTTTCCAAGAATGGTCTTATTCTTATTTCTTTCTCTATCTCTCTATTTATTTAATAAATGTTGCTTTGATTACATTTAAGTTTGCTCATGTAGCTTCTCTTTAATCAAGGTATTTATAGATTCAAATATTTATTTCTTAACACATTTAACTCTGTCCAAATTTAACCACATACTTTCCAAGAATGGTCTTATTCTTATTTCTTTCTCTATCTCTCTAACTGATTATAACTAAACACAACCCTGGTCCTAACTGCCTAAACTGACTCCTCACTAGTTCTAACTGATTATAACTGTCTTTCTGTCCCCTTTTATTTCCCTGGCTCCACCCTCCTGTACTGTCATTGGTTCTCACATCAGTGTTCTATTGTGATGGACAGGTATGGTTTTCTGGTTTGTCCATCACAATATATTTTCTCTTTAGGTATGTAAGCATAAGCTTAACTTCAAAAACCTCTTACATGCTTCACACCTGTTAATATGTTATGCCATAACTCAAATGGTGCTTTAATGTATGTTTAGTTGGCAATCGATTTTGAAAATAATTTTCAGTTATTAGAGTTTCATCCCAAAATTTATTTAGTAATTCAGCATCCACTAAAATACATCTTGTCATTTTTAAAATATTAGTTTTCTTTTTGATAATCCGTTTTGCAGGAGTATAAACAACTGTCTTCTTCTGCAAAATTTCCTGATCTTCAAGAAAAAAAAATAATTTTATGTGAAATGTATTTGTTGTCATTATTTGTTTGTATTGCCTTCACTTTTTTCTCAAATGTATTGCCATGGCAACATATTTTCAAAACATTCTATGTATATTGGGCTTTTCTCTTTAAGTAAATAAGTTACACAGTGTAAAAAATCATTAACAAAAACACAAATGCATTTGTTTCCACCTGGTGATCACTGATTAATTGATCCACACAGGTCACTACATATTAAATCTAGTACTTTGTTACTTCTTTTTAAATTTAGTTTAAATTAAGGTTTTACTGCTTTTTCTTTAATACAGTTTGTACATCTGTGCAAATTCTCACCATTTTGTCTTTATACCTGTTGCTAGATTATACTTTTGTAGAATAGCTTTTGATTCTCTATGAGCAAATCTGTGATGCCATAGCTGTAAACTATTTTCATCTTCTCTTTTCTCTAGTACTTTATTAATTTGTTCTTACTCATCTAATATACCCAATTTCTAAACACAATCTTTCATTGGTGCTTCAAAATAAACTTCATCACTTTTCTGTATTAAACATTTTTCATTTTCAAAAATCACTTCAAAACATTTTTTATCTGGAGCAGATACACTCAATAAATTGCAGTCAAGTTGAGGAATATCTTGTACTTTACTCACAGTAAAGTACAATAAAGTACATCTCTTGTTCTGTAGTTTAAAGTTACTGAACCTTTATCTTTCACTTTCATGTACTGACAATTAGCTATTCTTCCTGGTAGACATCTAAATGTATCTCACCTGGAAGAAGGCCCCAGCTGGAAGGCCTTGAGACTGAGCTGTACCTTTCTCAGCTCAAGAGCCTTAAGGCCTGTCCCCCAGGGGAACCAAACATCTGTAAGGTGTCTGTCTGTCAGGTAGAACCCCCCAGACTGGAGATTTATGTGATATGTCATCCAAGCAATCAAAAAATCCCACTGCCGGACACAGGTATGGGACTTAGCAAAAGAAATTACCCAGCAGAAATTAGATATAAAACCTGAAATGGCATCATTGAATGTCATATCAGGAATCAATGATAATAAATTGAAGCATTGTCTTATGTATATACTCACAGCAACTAGATTACTCTGGGCCCAAAAATGGAAAACCGAAGAGGTTCCGACGATGGAAGAGCTGTTAAAGAAACTATGGGACATGGCAGAGTTGGACACCCTATCAGAAGCACTACAGGAACAGCCAAGAGACTATGTAAAACAAAGCTGGGAACTAATATATTCTTGGGCCCAGAAGACAGGAGCGTAGGGCAAAGTTTATGATGCATGTATATTTACTCAGTATACAAATGAAATTGGGGGAGCAGAGGGGTTAACGAGGCTGGAGTCTCTGACTCCAAGGGGGGGAGGGGTTAGTTTTTGGTTTTTTTTGTTTTTTTGTTTTTTCCCCTTCTTTTTCCCTTGTCTCTTATTTGTCTTGCTTTTTTTCTGTGTAAAATAAAATTTAAAAAATCCCACTGCCAACCAACACTTTCAGAATTCATTAATTGTATTAATAATGCTACTGTTACTTTGAACATTTATTTTCTGTGCCTATGTCTCTCACCAGTGATTCCCCATCTCGCACAATTTATACTATATATAAACCTAAAGCTAAATATTTCAATCCATGAGTCTGAGGAACGTGAGTGTAATTCAAAAAACTGACACTGGAATCAGTGAGTCATTAAGGTGCCACAATACTTTTGTTTTTGTTTTGCTTTTGTTGGATATGCTGAAGCAGACTAAGATTAAGATGGCTACCTGTGTGAAAAGCATTTCTCGTGATAACTACATTACTTTAAGTAGCAATGCTTAAAAATGCATCACTGTGGCTGCATTGTGACCACTGTTTTGTTATTATCATGGTTCTGCTGATGGTATCAGTGTGTTGGATCCAGATCCAGGTGCATGTTTCTGAAGTGGTGGAAATGGATTTTGTCACTCCTTTCTTCCCATTAGCTTTGTGGAAATGATGTATAAAAGGGCAGCAAGTTGTGTTGAATGGGGTGAGC